GACCACTTTCTGCTGCAATACCGGAATGCCGCTCATGCCACCACCAAAGACAGCCCAGTGAAACTGTTCAAAGCCAGTAGCTTACGGTCCTCACTACGATGTGTGGATTCAAGTGACGTCGTAAACTTCCGAGGAAACGACTAGAGACCATCAAAGGGAATCATTACCCGCAATATTAGCCAAGCTATGGTCAAGATCACAGATCTAACAGATGCGACGGTTCATCGACGCCACGTCTATCAAATTTACTTCAATGAATCTCCCATTTCAGAAAACCCTACCGAAGTAAATCCACCTTGTGACACGCCGTCAACAACTACAGAAGATCAAAGGCAGCCGTCCCTATTCCGGGAAAGCCTACGGACAAGAATACCTCACTGGCAATACGACCCCTCAGAAGAGCAAGCCAATTTGACGAAGCCCTTTTGAAGGACGAGAGTTGTGGTGATCCAGGCCTACGTGATGACGCCTACCCTGGAGCGGCGTGTTATAGTTTCTAGACATTTGCGATTAATCAAATTTCAAAGATGACGTCAATGACACGCGTACGGCTTCTGACTAAACGCCATATGCAGATCGTGCCAGCGAATGCCAGAGAGCGAAGAAAGAAGCAGAATTACGCAAGCAGATTTGAAATCCGATTCGTGGAAGCCCAAATAACCAATAATCTTCTTTCGTACATATAATTTAATCTCTTTCATTTCTCCCAATAAACTAATTACGTACCACTAAGACGTTCAGTTGTTCACCGAGCTCCACAATTGTATTGTACACGTTTCATCACCAAGCGAGGTGACATTCTCAATGCAGTAACTAAGTGAGCGCTTACGAGTGTCCTCTTCCTTATATGGGTCATTGAGTGATGCGGCGTTGCCTGATTGGCCAAGGGTTGTTTACCTTGTGCCGATAGGAGATGAGGTGGACGCGAGCAGTCTGACGGCTGGCCGTTGATCGATCAGTTTAAGCGTACTGCTGTCCTGTCGTGTAACGTGTGATACGACCCACCTTCTTTGCGTTGATTGGTCCTTTAGTTGCATGGGGTTGTAGACTTGATCGATGTCAATGTGTCGGTTGACCGAGTTTTCAGATGAATGTCCAGCTTCCAGAAATTCTCTTGCGTGCTCGGCGCGCGCCTGATTGACGACTTTGATGTTTTCGAAATCGAAGTTGTGTTCTTCTCGGTACTCGTGGAATGAGATGAGTGAGAGCGCATCGTGTCTTCTGATGGCTAGTTTGTGTTCGTGCAAACGAGTTGCTAGTTTTCTCCCTGTTTGACCGATATAGTACTTGTTGCAGTCCTTACAGTTTATGTGGTAGATCACATTGGTTCGATTTTTGTCTTCCTGTTGCTTCTTGGTTTTCGATGACATTCTCCTCCAAGTTGTCGTTCGTTTGTGGGCGACCTGAATGTTGTATGGTTTCAGTATTCTCATGGTTATTTCCGAAATGTTCTTCACATACGGTAGGGTTATTCGCTTATTCGGTTGTTTGCGAAACTGTCATCCATTTTCGGGCGTTTAACGCTCAAAGCCGCTCGTCAATGGAAAGCTTTCGCTTGTCGTCAAGCCTCAACCCGCGAGCAGCTATATTTTCTACATGAGTGCTTATGAAACAACATCCTACCGTCCAGCGTTATTCATCGACCACCAGTCAACCACCTAGAAGCCTGTAAAATAGCAATCCAATATGGTAGAAGCATGGTCAGAATGATGATCACCGACGCTCATGGACGTCCACATAAATATGATAACATCATGAGGGAAGAAATGGTAACTTGCGCAAGTATGGTGGACGACGAAACCCTGAGAAACCTACAATCAGCT